AAAAAAAAAAAAAAAAAAAAAAAAAAAAAAAAAAGAAGTCTCCAGGGTACCTCTCTCTAATCTTACCCTTCTCTCTTCACCCCAGAGGCATCCACTGTCCTGAACTTGGGGTTGTTTATTCCCGTGCAAGTTTTTATTCTTTTGCATAGCAGTAAACATATTTTTCTATGACTTGTTTTTCTCATCACTACTTGTGAGATTTATCCATCTTGTCACCAGTTCATTCATTTTTCACTGCTGTATTAACACACTACGGCCCATGGGCTGAATTTTGTTCCACCACCTGCTTTTATAAATAAAGTTTTATTGCAACACAGCCATGTTTATAGATTGTCTATAGCTGCTTTGCTTTACAATGGCTGAGTTGAGTTGTAACAACAGAGATGAAGACCAACTGTCTAGCAAAACTTAAAATATTTACTCTCTGGTCCTTTACAGAAAAACTTAGTCAACCCCTGCTATAGAGTTTCCATTGTAACAATAACATACTGTTATCTGTTCTCCTGTAGGTTAACATTTGGGCCATTTCTAATTTTTTTTTTTTTAATTTTACAAATATTGGCTTCAGTGAACATTTCTGTTTGTTCAAGAATCTCTCTAGAGTATATAGGTGGAAGTGAAATTACTGGGCCGTAAGGTATGTGCACCTTGAACTTTATTAGATGTTTGGTCTCCTAGGTGGACCTACCAATTTGCACCCCCACTTGTAGTCCATGAGACTTCCTCTCCCTCCTCATCCTTGCCAACAGCCTGGTATTTTAAAACCTTAAGTTTGGTGAGTCTGATGTATGTAAAGTGACACTTCATTACTGGTGATGGTACACATTTTTTTCAGAGTTTTTGACCATTTGCCATTCCTCTTATTTGAATTACCCGATTACATCTTTTGCCCATTTTTCTATTGAGTTGTCTTTTTCTTTTTGATTTGCAAGAGTTCTTTACATATTCTGGCTACTAGACTTTTTGGTTATATGCATTAATACTAGTCTGTGTCTTGGTTTTCAAACATACATACATATCCACACACATATATAGTATGTATGTATACACACATACACACACACAAATGAGTTTTTCTCTTGGGAAGATTTGTGAGGTTGAAAGGGTCTAAGGCTGAAGAAAAGGTAAGCAGATGACAGCAGTCTCAGCAAGGAGGATTGACACAGCTTTCCCCATTGGGACGTTTACATAAGCCTGCGACTGCCCCAGCATGGAGCAGTGAGAGTGCCTTTCTGAGACTGTCCGTTTGGGTGAGCTGATTGTTACTGACTGCATAGACGTGACCCACAAGGTCCCAGGGAAGCCAAAGGACACTGTAGTGGGATGCTCATGGGCAGAAGGGTTTGGAGGGCCGCCTTGGACAAAAGCCAAATGTACTTCGTGGTTTTGGGTTTCCCCATTTTGGTTTTGGCTGAAGGCAGACTTTGGTTTCATCCGGATCAAGTTGAGCCATTCTCTGGCCCACAGGGATTTAAATAATTAAACCTTTCATTTTCAGGCCAGACTACTTTTGTTTAACTTTACACTGTTCCATCATTCTCAAAATTGAGAGCACTGGCTTCTCCCATTCCTCTTCCTCTGCCGACCTTTCAAATCAGACTTGCTGGGCTGAATAGTTACCAAAAAAAAAAAAAAAAAAAGTCTGCAGTCCTTTAGGTTTACATAATCTTGTGATTTTTACCAAGTCCTTGCAGCCGTGATCTCCGTGTGTCTTAATAATAGCTTGGTGAGGCACATGGAGAAGATAGATTACACTGCCATCTTGTAGTTGGGGACCACTGAGATGCTGGAGTGACTTGCTCCTGATGCCATAGCAATCTCCTGTGCTGGGCCTGGTGTCTGTTCCAGGGCTGTTCTCACTGCATGCAGGCTCAGTTCATTACCCAAGATCCAGGATGACCTGTCTTCATCATTACCAATCTCTCTCCTAGTGGGAGGGCCACGTGGTGTGAGGCCAAGACAGACAGAACTTGGGGAACGAGTATAACATTCCCTGAGCCTGTGCTGCATGTCACACCTGGCACTGTACACTTTCTCATGTCATCTCACTTGATACTTCAATTAATGCTGTAAGTAGCAGGATCAGCTTCATGGGCTATGATGGGTGCAGTCATACATGGCCCGTGCTTTGCTCAGAAGGTGCCACACTTGATTTAATGCTGTGCTCTTGCCGTCTTGAATGTTTTAATAATTTTTAAACAGTCGACCCACATTTTCAGTTTGCCCTGGACCTTGCAAATTATGTAGCTGGTCCTGTACTCAGTTAAAGCAACTGAGGCTCAGAGAGGTGAAGTAATTTGCCCAAGACTACACAGCTAATAAATGGCAGAGCTGGGATTGGAGTAATTTCTACTTGGCTGCTTCATTTATTGAAAACAGAGCCCTGGAATGAGCCTTGTTTGAAATGCACTGAAAGAACGGGGAAGTAAGATCAGTTGTACCACAGAAATACTGATTTTCTGTGGAGATTTGCTTATGTGTTGTTAAGTAGTTTTGTGTTGACCTCACGTGGGCCACTGCCACCCTTTTCCTTGAGGGGAGGTCTCCGATCTGTCATTTCTTTTGAGGTTCCTGGAAATGCCTAGAACAGGGAGCCTCATGGAGGAGCTGCTCAGGACATGGTCACTGCCCAGCTGTGTTAATGGGCTTTTTTGGTTACAAAGAAGAAATCGAGACTCCTCAGTGTATTTTAGTGAGTCATAAAGAATAAGTGAGGAATTAAAAGGCTGATCTATAGCTAGGGTACCGGAAGGATCCTAAATAGCTCTTGGAGCAGATCATGTGATCACGTTCTGGGTGGCTGAAGTTCATGGCTCCCCGACTCAGCCACTACTCCTTCTGGGTTTGCTTTTCTCTATGTGTCTCCTGTGCCACAAACCTTTCCACTCTCAAGTCTCCTAGGAAAGTGTCCTGCTATTCAGGCTTTGCCCCAGACCCCTCAGAGGCTGCTGACCATTGAGGGTGAGGCATTGACCTCTGGCCATGGTGATGTGGTTGCAGGGAACCAGCATGGTGGCTTGGAAGAAGGAACTTTTAGAACAAGGTAGAGTAAGTTTTGTCCTGTCCAGGTCACTGGCTGGTCAGTCTCAGGATGGGCTTTGAGTCTGCCATTGTAGAGGATGAGCTCACTGCTTCAAGAGTGGGACATACCCTTGGCTGGAGAAGTTTTCGGGGTCCCCAAGGGGACTCACTGGCCTCCCTGGTGATCTGCTCTGTTTTCCCTTTGACAGCAGCAAATCCCCTGCTCTGCTCCACTGCCCGCTACCACTGTAAGAACGGCCTGTGCATTGACAAGAGCTTCATCTGCGATGGGCAAAATAACTGTCAAGACAACAGTGACGAGGAAAGCTGTGAAAGTTCTCAAGGTAGGAGCCTCTAAAAAATAATTGCAACACACACCCACAGTAACACTGAGAAAAACACCGAAAGGAAGAAATCAACACCCATACCACCTCCAAACACAACAGCTCTGTTCAATTTTGCACTTGGCCTTGCAGCCCTTGCATGGGTAGATGCACGTGTTTTACGTGGTTGTAACCATAATGCACCTGTCATTATGTATTTTTGTATTGCTCATGCATTCAATATCATATGCACAGTTTTTTCTTCAAAATAGTCATTTGCCCCAGTTGTGTTACATACTGTTGTGTGGCGCTGCTGTAGTTTTCTAAGTTGTTGCATTGTTGGGGCCATCTGGGCTGTTTCTCTTCATTGAATTACTTCTCGAGGATGAATTCCACAGAGCAGGCCGCCTGCACAGGTCATAGCTACATCTCACCATACGGCTATTGAATTTTTTTTTTTAAGTTTATATTGCTGCTGGCATTGTCTGCGCATGTCAGTTTTACTATAATATCACAGATATTCACTGCTGTTCTATTTTTTCCAGTTTTGCTAATTTAGTAGTCATAGAATGATAGCCTCCCCAAATGCTTTAATTTGCAATTCTCTGATTATGAGCAGAGTTAACATTCCCCCCTTGTGCTTGTTTACTGCTTTGTTTTTTGTGATTTGCTGCTTGTTTCAGTGCTCTTGATTTCGGAGCTCTTTTATCAAAACTGAGCTTTGTTAGGAAACCTGGGAAGGACACAGTGGGGCAATGTCGTATCCTCCCCTGTTAAAACTGACCAGGGGTACTTTTTGGCTCTTTTTAAGTAAACATGTATTTCTTCAGTGATTACAAAGAAATACAAAGA